TCGCCAAGCAATTCCGTATCAAGCTTTCGGACAAGTCTGTACTCATTGCCACCGTTCCGCAGGACGGGAGGAGGACAGCCGCTCAATTGCAGAAGCGAGGTATCCCTGTACGGTTCGGCCTTCACGGCACGGATCTTGGCATTGATGCAGCTTCTGGCAAACGGCGCACAGTCACTAAGGCCAGAATGAGGTTGACCGCCAGCAAGAGGAGGGCGGCTCGCATTGCCCGCATACGCAGACATGCTCCTCTACGGCGCGAAGCCCAAGGTCTTTGGACCACAGGCGCAGCTCCTCAAGGCTCCTACGGACACCAGGCCCATGGCATGTCGCCGTCCAACGTCCTCGCCGTCAGGCGGCAGGCAGCCGTGGCGGGAGCTGGGCCCATGAAGGGCAGGTGTCTTACGACAACACTGGCGGTCCTTTACGGTCTCAAGGATCCAGCCCTGGAGTTACGTCGAGGCCTTCTTTCAGAATTTCTCTGTCTCTGGAAGACCGACGCCAGCATTCACCATCGAGTTGAAAATGCTTGGACTGTCATTCATCGGCGGCTTCTCGCAGTTGGCGCCAGCAAGAGATGGAGACTGGTCAAAGGACCGATTGGAGCTGTTATTGCGACCTTGCTTGACGCGGGATGGGAAGTACCCTCGGTTCTACGTTGGAGGAGACCCACTGCCGGAGGAATCGAGGAGTGGCTGATTCCAACCGCACGACGTGCAGGCTACGACCCCACTGGGTTCGACATCTCCGAGCTGCTGGACGACGTGGTCACTGATTTTCGCGCTCAGCTTTGGAGCAATGCTTCGAAGCACATGGCAGGGGATGGCCTGGCTGAGGGAGCTGACCTCTATTGGGCCAGGCTGGAGCTCTGCCACTTCGCCAAGAGGGGGGAGCTCGACCTGTTCGGCCTCTATTTGTGCGTGGTCACGGGCGCCCAGTGGACGATGGACAGGCAGCGCCCTCTGAGTGAGCCCGCTGACCGCCTGTGCCCGCGATGCCAGCAGGAGGAAGAAACTCTTGCGCATCGCATTTGGCGTTGCCCCTGCAATAAAGATCACAGTGATTTCACGTCTACTGATCTTTTGATTCCGCAAGCGTTAGCGTCTGTTGAATATGAACCAAGCCTTTGGCTGAGAGGTGTTCCGCCTACCCGTGTCACCCACCCTGTTTTCAGGGAGCCGTTGGAGAGCCTGAGCAGAGCCCAACTTGGTGAGGTCCCTCTTGGAGCATGCTCTAGAGACCCTGGCAGCAGCCCGTTGATCGGCTTCGGGGACGGATCTGGAGGACGCTTTTCGTCCGACCCTCGTCGCCGTCGGTGTGGCTCCGCTGTTGTTGTGGTCAAGGACGCGCGACCTGGGGAGGGACCTTTGCGTTGGGCCGTCTTGGAGGGCATCTCCGAGATTTTGCGAGGCCCCTCGCAAACGGTGCCCAGGTCGGAGCTGCAGGCTTTCGCACTCTTTCTGGAAAGCACCACAGGTCCTGTCCATTTTGTGACTGACCACAAGCCTCTCATGACGGGGTGGAGTCGGGGCCGACCTTGGAGTTTGGGGGGGAGGAACAGCGATTTGTGGCTGCGAATTCGTTGCGCCATCGACGACCGAGGCCCAGGGCATGTCTCGGTCGAATGGACGCCCTCGCACCTGTCCCCTGATGACTCCTCCCTCTCCCATCACGAAGTTTTTCTTGCCAGTGGTAATCAGTTAGCCGATGAAGCGGCTTCTGAAGCCGCTGAGCGCTCCTGGACCTTGGCCGCCCAGACCGTCCCCGCCACAGACGCCTGGGACCTCACTGCTGCCCTGGTGCGTCGAAGGGCTCGGCGGGCTCTGGCGGGCGCCTCTTCGGCGGATCCCAAGCGGTCCAAGGCCCCGACGGAGGTCGAGCGGCCCAGGCCGAAGACCGCCGAGACCCGACGCCTCGAGCACGCGGCCAGGGCCAGCTCTCACAGGTTTAGACCAGTCGGGTCCCGTTTCAGGTGCCAACTGTGCTCTGTTCTTTCGTCCCGACAGGGCCTCTTAGAGGCCCTGAAGACGGAGTGCTTTTCGCCGCTAGTCGTCCCTCCTGGATTTCCTCGGGACGTGGTGGCCGCGGCTCGTGGCGGCGTCGCTGTTGGTGGGCTGGAGCTCGACCCCTCCCACCGTCTGGGATTCTGGGACCTGCATTCTTTGCATTTTTGTTTCAAATGTGGTCGGACCGCGACCGTTGACGGTCGCCATTTGGCCGAAGGTTGCGGGCCCCCCACTCGCAAAGGCCGAGAGAATCTCGGCCGAATTAAACGCGGGCTGTTTCCGAGCTATGCGGGGCCTTCTAAGGCCTCGCAAGCGATTTCGCATGCGAGGTTAGTGGACGCGTGCGTCGCTGGGGGGACAGCACAGCGTGCCAAGAGGGCAAGCCCTGTACCCTCCCACGCGCCCTCTTCCCCTTGCGGGGAGGAGGAGGCGCTGGGGGTGGCTGCTACGGAGTAGCCACCTTGGGTGCAGGTGCTTGGCCTCCTCCCTCTGTTTTCCCCTCCTCCTTTTTAGCACGCTGTGCTGCGCAAAAGGTCCAAGAAGGTCCTCCTGCCCCTCCTCCTCCTCCTCCTCCTCCTCCTCCTCTTCCTTCTCCTCGTCCCTCCTCCTCCTCCTCGTCCCTCCTCCTCTTCCACAGCATAAACCCCTCCTTTCCTCCCTATCTTCGTCGTCGTTGCACGCACATCGAAGGGACCCGAAGACAGCGAACCCTCCTCCTCCTTCTCCTCGTCCCTCCTCCTCTTCCACAGCATAATCCCTCATTTCCTCCCTCTCTTCGTCGTCGTTGCGCACGCATCGAAGGGACCCGCCAGCACGCGCTTAAGCTGCAACGGTGGGAGGAATGAGAGAGGAAGAGAGCAAGCGCATAAAGACATTACCCTGTACCCACTTCGCGTATGGCGTCACTGTGCTGCCCCCCCCCCCCCCCAGCCCTCGAAAATAACGACAGTGTCACAGATCGCAACCACCCAGGGATGGCGAGGTCCAATCTGAATCCGCGTATGGCGTCACTGTGCTGCCCCCCCCAGCAGTCTTCGAAAAGGGCGACTATTTCGCAGATCGCAGCCCCCAGGGATGGCGAGGTCCAACCTCAATCCGCATATGGCGTCACTGTGCTGCCCCCCCCTGGCAGCCGTCGAAAGTGACGACAGACTCGCCCAGCACAGCCACCTAGGGATGGCGAGGTCTAATCTGCATCGGCGTATGGCGTCACTGTGCTGGCCCCCACAGCAGCCCTCGAAAGTGGCGACAGTTTGGCAGATCGCAGCCGCCCAGCGACGGCGAGGTCTAACGTGAGTCCGCGTATGACCTCACTGTTTTGCCACCCTCCAGCAGCCCTCGAACGTGCCGACAGTTTCGCAGATCGCAGCCCCCCAACGACGGGGAGGTCTCGTCTGAGTCCGCGTATGACCCCACTGTGCTGCCCCCCCCCCCAGAAGCCCTCGAAAGTGGCGACAATTTCGCAGTTCGCAGCCCCACAGCGACGGCGAGGTCCAATCTGAGTCCGCATTGGGCGTCAGTGTGCTGCCCCCCAAGCAGCCCTCGAAAGTGGCGACACTTTCGCAATTCGCAGCCCCCCCAACGGCGGCGAGGTCTGGTCAGAATTCGCGTGTGGCGTCACTGTGCTGCCACCTCCCAGCAGCCTTCGCACGTGGCGGCAAAGTCGGAGTTCGTAGCCCCTCAGCGACGGCGGGATCCCGCTCCGATCTGAGTAAGACGTCACTCCGCCGGACCCCCCAGCAGCCCTCGAAAGTGGCGACAATTTGGCAGATCGCAGCCGCCCAGCGACGCCCAAAGCCCCACTCTGATCTGCGTCAGACGTCACGCCGCTGGAGCCCCCAACAGCGCTCGAACGTGGCGACAGTTTCGCACTTCGCAAGAGCCCAGCGACGGCGAGGTCCCGCCCTGATCTGCGTGAGACGCAACTCCGCTGGACCCCCGAGCAGCCCTCAACAGCGACGACAATTTCGCAATTCGTAGCCCCCTAGCGACGCCGAGGTCCCGCTCGGATCTGCGTACGACGTTACTGTGGCCCCCCCAGCAGCCCCCTACAGCAACGACACTTTCACAATTCGCCCCCCCCACCCCCACCCCACGAGATGGCGAGATCCCGGTAGGATCTGCGTAAGACGTCACGACGCTGGACCACCCCCCAGTAGCCCTCGACAGTGGCGACAATTACGCAGATCGGGGATGGCGAGGTCGGAGGCAAGTACGAGAAAGGTACGAAACAATAAGAGAGAGAGAGAGAGAGGGAGTGTGAGAAAGAGAGAGAGAGAGATAGAGAGAGAGAGAGAGAGAGAGACAGAGAGAGAGAGAGAAAGAGAGAGAGGGAGAGAAAGAGAGAGAGAGAGAGAGCAAGAGAGAGAGAGAGAGACAGAGAGAGAGAGAGAGAGAGAGAGAGAAAGAGAGAGGAAGGAGGACGGCGGGAAGGGAGGAAGGATGCGACCACAGTGCTCTATTCAAAACGAGAACCGAAAAGAGGGTTGTGAATTACGCCCACCCCTACATCGAGCTCAGTGGGCTGAGGGAGTGGGTGAGGGAAGAGGATTGGCCCAGACCCCATACATGCCGAACCCTGGCTCCCTCTCTGGAACTCGCTGGGTCGTAGCAGTCATTATTTCCGCACTGGCTCTAGCCTAGAGGAGGAGGGAGCAACATGAAACGTGCAGCCAGACATGCTGATATACGCCACTTTGTTTTGAGGGAAGCATACGGGGAAAAAAACGAGGATCCCCCGACTCCTTCTCATCCTCCTCCTCTTCTTCCATTTGCCCTCCCATCCCGGATATACTGCAACACGCGCTAGCACGCAGACATCATCCGTTCCTCTACCTCGGCCAGAGAAGTGACCAGGGCACTTGTCCCGACGCCAATGCGCCGCGAGAACAGGTAGAACGGCTTTTCTTCCTCCTCCTCCTCCTCCTCCTCCTCCTCCTCCTCCTCCTCCTCCTCCTCCTCCTCCTCCTCCTCCCCCCCCCTCCTCCTCTCGGAGGCCTGGCGGGGTGATGACCGCGCCCAGGCCGGCCGGAACGTCTTCGAAGCCGGGGAACTTGAGCCAGTGCTGAGCCACCGCCCCGAGGGATGCCACCTGTTCGGGGGGGAGGGGTGGGGCTCCCAAGGTCTCGGGCAGCGCCACGCTGATACAGCCGGCACGCACGATAAGAAAGGGTTCCCCACATTCTGAGTGGGGTTCCTGTTTTCATGGACACCCCGCACAAGAACATCCACCCCCTTTCATCCTGTTCTCCTTCCAAGCTCAGCAAGGTCACCATCACCATCACCATCACCATCACCATCACCATCACCATCACCATCACCATCACCATCACCATCACCATCACCACCACCACCACCACCATCATCATCATCATCATCATCATCATCATCATCATCATCATCATCATCATCATCATCATCATCATCATCATCATCATCGTCATCGTCATCAGCATCATCACAATCATAATTATCATCCTCATCCTCGTCATCACCACCCTCATACACTCCCACATCATCATCACCATCTTCATCATCACCACCACCATCGGCATTTCATCACACACTCGTCGTCAATCATTACACTCACACGTTTATCTTCAAGAGACCTCGACCGGGAGCCTCGTCAATGACTGCTTCGCGAGGAAGTCTCGAGCGGGAGACCCCGCCATATGTGGTCCCTACGTCCATGTTGGACTCCGAGCGTGGCCAGCCAACTCTGGTAACTGTCGCCACTTTGGAGCTCCTCGGGCTTGACTTCAGGAAGGAGTCTCGCACGGGAGCCTCGTCGGTGAGTGCATCGCGAGGGAGTCTCGAGCGGGAGCCCCCCTCCATATGCGGCCCCCGCCTCCACGCTGGACTCCGAGGGGGGCCGTCCCAACCCTGTAGCCGTCGTCATCTTTGGGTTCTTCGGGCTTCCATCTGGGGGAGATCTCGAGCAGGAGCCTCGTCGGTGACCGCATCGCGAGGCAGTCTGGAGCGGGAGCCCGCCCCCCCCCCCCCCTCTGCGCGTTGGGCCCACGCCTCCGCGTTGGAATCCGGGCGGGGCCATCCAAACCTTCTGCCCCTCGTCACTGCTTGGGCCCCTCAGGCCTGAAAAGGCAGGAGATCTCGAGCGGGAATCTCGCGTGTGAGGGAACGGCGCGGAAGTCTCGTGCGGGAGCCCCTCCCTGTAGGGGTCCCCGCCTCCGTGCTGGAACCTGGGCGGGGCCATCCAGATCCTGCAACCAGCAGTCGTCTCTTGTGTGTTCTCCGGGCTGGACTCAGACATAAATCTCGAGCAGGGACCGCGTTCGCGAGTGAATCGCAGGGAAGTCTCGAGCGCCCTCCCTTCCCCTTCCCGGGGTCCCCCCCCATGTTGGCATCCGAGGGGGCATCCAAACCGTGTAGCTGTCGTCGCTCTTGGGGCTCCCCGTGCCCGATGAGGGAGTACACCTCGAGCGGGAGCCCCGTCACCGAGCGACTCGCGAAATAACCTCGAGCGGGAGCGCCTCCCTTCGGGCCGGGCGAAAGGGGGGATAACAAAGGGGGGTTTGAGAATCAGCTCACGTAGCTGATTTTCCCGGCGCCGGGAGGCGCCCATGTATCGAGGAATGGGCGCGGCGGCGGGGCCGAAACCAGCTGCATGCAGCATATTTCGTAACCCCCCCCCTGACCCTATCCCCCCCTCACGTTCGGCCCGATCCCTGTGGGGTCCCCACCTCCACGTTGGAATCCGAGCGGGGTCATCCAAATCCTGTTGCTGCCGTCACTTCTGGGCGGGAGCCCCTCCCTATATGGGGTCCCCACCTCCACGTTGGGATCCGAGCGGGACCATCAGAATCATGTGATCGTCGTCGCTTTCGGGCTCCTCATGCCTGGCCCTGGAGGAAGTCTCCAGCGGGAGCCTCGTCTGTGAATGGATGGCGAGGAAGTCTCGAGCGGGAACCCCCTCCTCTTGGGATTTTCGCTCGGGGCCCGCGGGGTTGTCCCAACGGCTTGCTTCCGCGCCCCAGCGGCCTGCCCGGCTGTTCCAAAGGCCTGGTCCGCGGGAGTGGCCCAACGGCTTCGTGATCCAGCCATCAACGAATGCGTCCCTTCCGGCCGTGTCGAAGACGGCGGCCGAATCGGGTGTAATCGCGAAGTGATGTTTTTGTACAGGGGGAGTGGAGGGTGAGCAGGAGGAGGAGGAGGAGGAGGAGGATGAGGATGAGAAGGAGGAGGAGGAGGAGGAGGGGAGGAGGAGGAGGAGGAAGAGGAGGTTGCGCGCCCTGCTGGAGGGGAGGTTGCGCGCCCTTGCTGGAGGAGGAGAAGGAGGAGGAGGAGGAGAGACGAGGAGGAGAAGGAAGAGGACGGCGGAGGAGGAGGAGGGAGGAGGAGGAGGAGAGGAGGAGGAGAAGGAAGAGGAGGAGGAGGAGGAGGAGGAGGAGGAGAGGAAGGAGGAGGAGGAGAGGATGGAGGAGGAGGAGGGCAGGAGGGAGGAGGAGGAGGAGGGAGGAGAGAGGAGGAGGAGGAGGAGGAGGAGGTTTGCGCGCCCTTGCTGGGGGGGCGAGGGAGGAGGTGGATGGGGGAGAACAGGCATGAGGACGAGGAGGAGGCAGCGCAGGGGGTGGGAAGAGGACCCCCCCGCCGCCAGGGCGAAAACGAGCAGGGCGACGAGGAGGCAGGAGGAGGGCCTCCGCACTCACGGAGACGACGGTGAGGCCTGCCTGCAGACCCGTCTGGTCGATCACCACGCGGGGCCCGCGGTGGACTCCGGGGGCGCATCTGTCGTCGAGTCTGGGCTTCCTGCCCTGGGGCACCGTCGGCCCACAAGGAGACACAAGAAACTTCCCGTGAGGCACCCGCTGACGGGTCAGTTTCGTATTTCGCTTGCCCTCTGCAGTGCCAGAGGGCGTGCTGGCCCTGGCTGGGCCTCTGAAGACGTGCAGGGCGGCCCTGATGCGGGACGGCAACACGACTTTCTCCTGTCCTCCCTCTTCCTGCTAATCCTCACTTGTGAAAAGCGACCAAAGAACACATTACAACCGTGCCCCTCCACCTCCGACGATGCCTTTACTCTGCCACCACATCCTCCCTCCCTACATACCTCGATCCTGCACTCTCCTCCTTCCTTCCCGCACCGATCCTCCTCCCTCCGATCTCTTTTCTCCCTGCCGCGATCCGCCCCCATCCTCCCTCCCTGCCTTGTTCCTTCTCCATCCTCCTCCCTCCTCCCTCATTTTCTCCCTCCCTCCTCCCTCTCGCGACGCCTGACCCCACAGGCTAGGCGTCCGCCTCCATGCTGTGCCCGACCGACCTCCTCCCTCTTCATCCTCCTGTTCTGCCACCTCCATCTCGCTACTCCTGGTGCCCCGTCTCTGCGTTTCGGTGCATTCGACGCCTGGGCGCTGGCGGCGGCGCACCGCAACGCATGCACCATTTGTTCACTTACCCCGGAGTCGGCGGGGGAGCGCCGTCGCGCCAACCCGTGCGCGCGCACGAAGAGCGAGCACCACAGAAATCACGACGCCCGCTGCGAGGAGAGAAGTGGCGGGCAGAGATCGGCGGCACGCGAGAGCGACCCTGGGCAAGAGTGACCTCTGGTGCGCGGCTTCTTCGGGGGCGCGAGGAGGCCAACACACAAGCGCGCAAGACGCTGCTATCGCGACGCGCGCGGCGATCGGGGGACCCCAGTGAGCGCGCACCAAAAGGTCACTCTGGCGAAGAGTCACTCTTGCGTGCAGTCGAAGAGAGAAGGGACTGAGCAGCGCCGGTCAGGCCCAACCATGGATGTGGCGCGCGGTCACCAAATCCATGGATCGGGGAAGGTGCCCTCCCCCAAATGCGGCCAATGCCGCCTCGCTCGGCGGCGGAAATCCGCAACTTCCCATGGAAACGTAAACCGTCGCTGATCCACGCCCCCTTGCTTCATGCTTGCGATCGCCTGAGGAACTGAGCAGCGCCGGTCAGGCCCAACAAATTCACCGCAACGCATGCACCCTTTTCACTTACCCCGAAGTCGGCGGGTGAGCGCCAAGAAGAGCGAGCACCACGGTAATCACGACACGCGTTGCGAGGAGAGATGGCAGGCAAAGCGAAGGGACTGAGCAGCGCCGGTCAGGCCCAACAAACTCACCGCCTAGTCTCCCTGCTCGCTCCGCCAGCTCCCCCTCCGCCCTCGATCCCCGGTGGCCTCCCAATAGGGGTAGAGGGCGGGGTCGGCGGCGCGGGCGGGGCGCTGACGTGGTGTGCGTGGTCGTGGTCCTCTCGTCGGTGTCGCGTCGGCGTCAGCGTCGGCGTCGGCTTCGTCGTCGTCGCCAGCGCTGGGCGTCGGCGTCGGCGTCGGCGTCGGCGTCGGCGTCGGCGTCGGCGTCGTCGTCGTCGTCGTCGTCGTCGTCGTCGTCGTCGTCGTCTTCGTCGTCGGCGTGGTCGTCGTCGTCGGCATCGCTGTCGCCGTCGGTGTCGTCGGCGTCGGTGGCGTCGCCGGCGGCGGCGGCGGCGAGCGGGGCGCGGGGCCATGGCGACGCGGCCGTGCTTGAGCTCGGCGCAGCGGTAGTTGTAGAAGGTCTCCTTGTCGCCCGCCTGGGAGCCACCGCGGGAGTCCGCGGCGAGCGAGGGGGGGGGGGGTGAGGAGGAGAAGGCCTTCTCAGAAGGCTCGGAAGCACCCCGGCCTTCTGAGAAGTCTCCTAAGCCTTCCAGGGAGACAGCAACACTTCTCAGGAGGCGCGAGGGCTTCTGAGAAGTCCCGCCGCCTTCTGGGAAGGCCTTCTCCTTCTCATTTCCCCCCATCGCTCGCCGCCGAAGGAAGCAGAAGGGAAAGCGGAACGCATGGCCAAGGCGAGTTCGGATCGAAATGCACCAAGAACCTATCCAAGGTCGGCCGAGTCTGGATGATGTGCCCAGCGCCATGACCGTCAGAGGGAGCTCAGGAACGGCCTGAGAGCGTTCCAAACCGCTCTGGACCTCCGAGGCATGCCTGACACCTGGCAATCACGACAAGGAGCGGGCTGGGAGAGCGTCGTCGCCCAGAGACGGCCCGGTGGCGGGCGACGTGCGCGCAGAGCTCGCTCAGCCAGGGCGGGAGGAGGAGGAGCAAAGACTTCACTCTGCAGAACGCAGCAGAAGCAGATCGGTTCTTGAGGGAGGAAGGCGCCTGCGGGTAAAGTGGATTGGGTCTAGGCCCGCCCAGAGAATTACAACACACAGCAACATCATACCGGTTCTTGGAGTAGGAAGGCGCTTGAAGTAGACTTGGACCCGAAACTCCAGAAGTATCTTTTCTCAACGACAGGCGTGTGCAGGCGCAAAGGCCAGTCTTCAGCTCACGGCACGGGGGAGAGGAAGGTGCAGCAAGCCAGTGGCGAGCTTGCGAGTCGACACCTTGCCGTCGCTCGGACGTCCCTTCTGTGCATTTTTCGGTTGCGTGCGTGTTATCTTTGCTGGGTGATCCAGGATGCTCCTCGATGGTCCTCGCCGGGAAAGCGCACACGTCCGAGCGATGCCAAGGACAAGGAGGAGGGGAAGGTGCAGCAGGCCAGTGGCGGGCTGGCGAGACGACACGCTGAGCACCCAGGGCCGACGCGAGACAACGGGGCGGTGGACTCGAGGCGCAGCGGGGAGGAGCGGAGAAGATCGAAGGGGCACTCCAGGACTGATCGTCGCCGTCGTCGTCCTCCTCCTTCTCTTCCTCCTCGATCAAAAGAGCCCAGGAACACACACACACACCCATCGATGCGCACGAATCCCAGGATTCCCATATCTTGTTGTGTAAAGATCTGTTCCAGACCTTCGTCTTTCCCCTCCTTCCCACAGTTTCCAATCTGTTCCCTGGAATCGACGAGTATTGGTGTCTGTGCGTGTCCTTCCCTCCTGATCGACCTCCGATCCTTGAGCTGCGGAGATCAAGGGCACTTCTTTGCCTGGTCTGCAATCAACCCCCCCTGGGCTCGCGGAGGCTTCCGGGGACCTCTGGAGACCTCCAGGAAAGCTCCCGGGATCTAGGGCACCTCTGGAAAGCCACGTGCGGCCCAGAGACCTCGAGACCTCCTTTTCCTCCCCCGTGCGGCCCACATACCTCCTCCTCCTCCTCCTCCTCCTCCTCCTCCTCCTCCTCCTCCTCCTCCTCCTCCTCCCATGTGCATCCTCCTCCTCCTCCTCCTTCAAACTCTTCTTCTTCCTCGCCTCCTGTATCTCCTTTTCCTCCTCGTCCTTCCTGCTCCCCTCCACGTCGCATACCCTGTTCCTCGCCCAACGCCTGCAGGGGCCAGCTGCAGCCTCGGCAGTGCCGATGGGCTGGAGGACGACGAGCCAGCTGGCAAGCCCGGTGAGTCCGCCGAACTGGCTACGGGCAACTCGGGCCGTGACGACGTCGGCGTTTGTCCACGACACCGCGTGGATCGTTCAGCCTCGATCGACCGCGACTCTTGTTGGAGGCCTGGCTGTGGGCACCAGCACCAACACAAGGGGCTTGCCTCCACAGGGGGATGATGATCCCAGATTTCGGTGTTGGTGGTAACATTTCGGTCACCTTGAAGCCTGAAGTATTACCACCATCACCGAGATCGGGATCTTCTTCCCTCGGTGGAGGCACCCGGCCGATCTTGGTGTTGGTGTCAACCTCGAGGCCTGCGATCTTACCTGGCGTGGATGGCTTGGTACCCGCCGACTCCAGGCCGCACGACTGGCGTGCCTCCTCGGGCGCCCGCACTGAGGTCGCCGCCGCGTCGACACCTGCGCGAGCCCGACCGCACGCAGCAGGTGAGCGCGAGTTTGGCAGAAGCCGCACCAGTTCGGGGGCGGCCAAGGAGGAGGATGAGGAGGAGGAGGAGGAGGAGGAGGAGGAGGAGGAGGAGAAGGACCAAGAGGGGGGCGGCGCAAATCATGGCCGGCGGCATGTGCGCGGCCCTGGGGGGGGGGCCAGGGACGTAATGAAATGAGAAGAGGCGCCATGAAATTTGGGGAAATATCATGGCCCACGCCATGATATCCACCCCCCCCCCGTGGTCATCACCCCCATCTTGGCCGCCCCCCGACCAGTGAGGATCAGCATCGGGGGCCGGGAAGCTCCTCCTGCCCCGAGGTCAAAACAAAAAGGCCTCGCGCGGGAATCAGAGCTGCGCCGACATGCAACACGCAGCACGTAGAGCATTGACGCGGAGCTCAGCACGTAGACCGAAACTGCACGTCTGGCGCGACGCGTTCGACAAGACGCGGGCCAACACGTGCCGAACCGATCTGCAACCTGTTGGCACGTGCGTTTTGAACACGGTACGTGTTGCGTCTCAACACGGGCGCATCGAGGCAGCTTAGAGCCGATCGTCTCGTCCCCGCCAGTCTCCGAGGATCCCCCATGGGGTGCAGATGGTTGCACCTCCAAGCCGCTGGCTGTGCCAGGGGGTTGCAGTCCTATGCCAGAAGACCATCCCTCAAGAGCACGAGACCCTCCATCGGCCAAAGCAAACATCCAAGGGTACCTTCCCCAGGGTGCACAAGAGCATCCAACATACACGAAGAACACAAGAGTACCCTCCCAAACCCCGACCTCGATCTCATATCCCTCGGCCCGACTTTCCATGAAATCTGCCTCGCCTGGCCCCTCAGCAGAAGTGCGTGTGCTGGGCGAGCCATCCGACGATGCTGCTGACCATGCGAAGCTGCGAGAAGGTGCCATCTGAGCGACGATCAAACACGGGTCCTACGCGAGATGACGCAGCGACCTCAAGCGGTGACTTGCGCGGGCCGCCCGTGCGGAACGCCACATCTGAAGCGAGGGTGCTCACCCGCGACCTCACGCGGGCAGCTTACGCGCCAATGTCGGCGCAGACGACCCCGCTGTTTTTGTGGTGTCGCCCATCTGATCCGAGCCTCACCGAAAAGGGAGCAGCCATTTAGTTCAGCGGGCGCTCGATGGGCAGGCGCCTTGCAGAATCCCGCAGGGTCGAAGTACATCATCGGCAGGGTCACCCCCACTTGCTTGGAAGGGTCGAAGGGGGGCTCCGCCTCCTCGGTCTCCTGCCAGATGCTTTGAATTTGAATATAACTCTATTCTCTATGTTCTATGTATCACGTGCTTCCTCCCAATTCCGAGTTTGCTGGGCGAGGCAAGGCCTCATACCTCCGATGCCATGCTTTTGAGCCGCGGCTCTTGGAGCCCTGGACCCCTTCCCCGGGAGTCCGCGATTCGCTCAGCATCAGTGTCAGACAGCCCCTCTGGGCCCTCAGACGCTTCCTGCGGATGTGACGCACCTCTGCTTTGCCTGCCTAAGACAGGCCCGACAGGAAGGCTCCGCCCACATCCTGGCCTCCGGCTCAGCCATTACAGCGGCTGGCAAGAGGATCGGCCGGGTGCAGCGCTAAAGCGCGCCATGTATTTTATGTATGTGTTACTTGCGACTCCCCCGTGGAAACCTTGCGAAACGAACGAACCTCTGCTTTGAGTCCCCCCCTGGGCAGGCGGGGCCTGCCAGACCTCTGGAGCCAGTCCCCCCCCTGAGACCGCCGCCCTGCGGCCTGCGCACCGCGGCCGCCAGACCCCGCGGCTCCCTGGGCGTCCCGTGCCGCCCCGCGCTCTCGACGACGTTTAAGGCAGGGCCGCCAGCATAGAAACGAGCAGCAGGCACAGCTTCCGAGTTTCTTGAGCAGCGTCGGGGGGGGGGGGCGTCGCCCCCGCCGACAGCCCCACATCAACCCCCGTCGCGGGCAGCCGCCGCGCGCCGAAGGCGCTCCGACCCCCGTCGCGGCGCGACGACGAGGCGAAGTTGACCCCCGTCGAGGGGGTATCCCCACACGCATAGTAAGAAACCCAGTGCAGTCGTTACACTGGACAGATCTCAGAGGAACAAAAAATGCACAAGCATAAACTGTTGACGGTCCGCGCGGATTTCTCGGATCTGCGCTGGGACCCTGCAACGCTCCTTTGACACAAATGAGCTGCGGACGTCAAACGATATCGATAAGAACAGATACCACTGATTGTGCACGTGAAGGGAAACACCCCCTCTCGGACGCAGCGGACAGCGGGCCAAAGCCCCACTCCCGCGGCGTCAGGGCCGCGCGTGCCTGCAGGCCTCTCGCCCGCCAGGTCCGTGCACGGCCGACCACTCTCAATGCACATCGTCCGCAACTCCCGCCTCAGTGCGGGACATCTAGGTCCGTGGAAAAGAAAAGGAAAGAAAAGAAAAGAAAACTCATGCATCTGCCTGGCGCCACACACACGCCCTAGAGAGTGCGATGGAGCCGGCTGCCCTCGTCGCGCACCTTAAAGCCCATAGCCTCAAAATGCCGTCTCAGATGTGTCTGATCCAGAGCCTTTGTGAACGCATCGGCCGGGTTCTGGAGTCCCGGCACGTGCTTTATCTCCACTTTGCCTGTCTTGACCTGGTCCTGCAGCCACAAGAATCTCGTGTCGATGTGGCGGACCGCGCCAAGGCCCTGCCGCGTGGCGATGCCCTCGGCCGCCACGCTGTCGCTGCGCAGTAGTGGCATCTCTAGGTGCTGCACGCCGAAGTCTTGGAGCATAGACTGGAGCCCCAGAGCGTGGCTCGCACCCTTCAGCATCGCATAGTACTCGGACTCCCCTGAAGACAACGCCACCGTGGTCTGCTGCGTGGAAGCGTGCTTCACAAGATGGGAGCCGAGCATGAGCATCATGCCACTGCGTGATTTCCTGGTGGTAGCCTCGCCAGCCCAGTCAGCGTCTACGAAGATCTCGATGCGCGTGGGGACCTCCTGCAGCTTGAATGCCAGCGAGCCGGCCCTGGCCTGCTTGAGGTATCGTCCCAGGCGCTTCAGGTCCATCATGTCCGACTCTCGTGGCGTCTTCATCGACTTGGCCAGAGAAGACGCTATGTAGCTGAGGTCCGGTCTGTCCTGCCCGATGTAGCTCGCCCGCATGACCAGCGAGCGGTAGAGCTTGGACTGTGCGTCATCGAGCGTCTGGGACTGCGAGGCTTCTATCATCTCGGTCACACTCTTCTTGACCGCAGGCGTCTGCACCGGCTTGGCGTCGCACAGGTGCAGGTCCCGAAGGATCATGTCCACGTGGCGGACGTCAGACTCGATGCGTGCCTCACCTGCGGCGGGATCCCAGATGAGCACGCGGTTCAGGTAGACCGTGCTCTGGACCCCTTCGGCCGCCGAGGAGAGGCGGCCCGTGACCTTGTAGTCATACTTCTTCAACAGCTCGTCGAACCAGGCCTCGTCGTCTGCATACATCAGCACGCCGAAGTCGTCGCCATGCACCTCGAGGGCGATGTCACGCCCTGGGTGCCACAGGATGGCGGGACTCGACTTCCCTTGCAGGAACTCGACGGACTTGAGCAGCTCGACGTAGTCACCCTGCCAGACCTGGCTCGCATCCATCGTGCCGTACATCGTGCGAAGGAGAAGTCCGACGAGTGGCTCCTCCTCGCCCTGGCGCTCCTCGGGCGGAAGCTCCACCCAGAGGCGCCTCTGCACGTGCCCGTAGAAGTGGGCACGCGACACGTCGTAGAACTTGTACAGCACCTCGCGGGGCTCCGAGCTCTGGAACTGCTCGAACGCCCTGCCGAGGAACAGGCTGACCAGCGCCTTGAACGCCTCCAGCGGTGGCGTCCCCGAGAAGAGGTCCTGCTGCGGCGGCAGCAGCCCCTCGGCGCGCCGGCGAACCTTCATCTCCCGTGCCACGAGCCTCGAGCGGTACAACGGTCGCTCGAGGTCCCCCTTGTTGGTGTCAATCCACCGCGTGTCGATGGCACGACCTCCTTCCGCCTCCATCTCGCGTCGTGGAACCTTCTTCCACACTCCGCGGCTGCGGCACCACTCCAGCTCCTCAGCCCTGGCCTCCTTCACCTTCAGCGGGTCGAGGAAGCCCCCGCGGACGTCGTCCACGAACGCCTTCGCCTCCTGGTCCATATCCTCGGCGTGAGGCGAGGGCCCGGCGGTGAATCCCGCCAGGTCAGACAGCGATTCCCGAGCTCGAAGTTCCTCCCTGAGGCCGCGAAGGATGGCTCTGACCAGGCGGGGTGGGTACACCTGCGCCTTTCGAGCCCTCCTGTCACCGAGCAAGTGCACGTGCCGGTAGGGTTCGCCGCCGATGGACGGGCAGCGGCACTCCCCAGCAAGGATGTCGGCCAAGACCTGCGAGTTCGTCAGCCAGCCCGTCTCCTTGCGCACGAATGCCTCGCGCCCATCGGGCCCCCGAGCGTGGAGGCCCCAGCGGCACATCGGGCCGCGCACAACGTACACGCCCGGCAACTCCTTGACCCTCTGGACGCACGGCCGCGACCAGGAGGATGCTCCCCAGGGATGTTCATGCAGGAAAAGTGCTCCTCGCTGATGCCTGCTCTCGCACACCTTCATGGAGAACTCCAGGTGTGTCTCTCCCTCGAGGACCTCGGAAGCCACGATGCCCTCGTCCCGCTTAAAGTTGCTGAGCTGCCTGAGCTTGGAGAAGACCGTGCACGGCGGAGAGGTCACGGTGAGGAGAGGGTCCTCCTCCAACAGCTTCTTCATGACTGCTCGGCGGTGGTCCTCGCGAAGCAAGTCCCAGCCAGTGTAGAGGTCCGCCGCGAGGCCTGCCGTCAGGCCCATGCCGAGCGCCCTCCCCTTGAAGCGCTCGGGCGAGTAGACCTCTGCGAGGTCGACCCCGTTGATCTCGGTCAACAGCGCGGACACCTCCTTCAGCTCCTTGATCGACATGGCATTGTCGCCGATCAGGTCCGTGGCGCTTACCAGCGCCAGGATCTCCCTGTAGATCTTGCCCTTGACCTCGTCAAAGGCGCCGACGTCCATGGAGCTGCCAGCTCGTGCAGCTGGTCCTGCCAAGTCCTCCATGTCGCCACCTCCTCTAGCCCCCTCTGGGCTAGGCGCGGGCTGCACCAGCCCGGCGGACACTGCCGCGCTCGCCGGTCCAGCCGACGAGCTCGAGCCTCCGTCCACGATCATCTGCCCGTGGAGGTCCGGCTCGCTCCCGGCTCTCTTGAGCCCCCTTGGCCCGTCTCGCAACTGCGGCGGGCGGCGCTCCTCGGCGGACACGCTCGCAGCACGCTTCCTCGATGCTGCCGGTGGCGTCGCCGGGGCGCCCGCACGTGGACCTGCCATGGCCACGTCTGCGCCGGGTCCTGCCGCGGCGCCTCCTCCGCTGCTGGCCGCAGCGGCTCCTCCGCCGCTGGCTGCGGCTGCTCCAGGCTGGGGCGCCGGCTGCGCCGCGCCCTCCTCCGCCTGAGCCTCGCGAGCACTCGCCCTCAGGTGGTGCTCCGCCAGTCTCCGCTGGCCTGCCGAGTCCTTCATCAGCTCGGCCTCGATGCGATCGCGGCACTCTTGGGAGTGCGCGACCCGCGCCGACCCCCTTGCCATGAGGTCTGCGCAGCCTGGACACCCCGGAGTAGCTCCGAAGCGTTCGATGTCCTTCTTGAGTACGTAGCGTCTCCTGACCACGGTGTCGTGGTCCTCCTGCGTGTCTCTGGTCACGGTTATCGGGCCCGCGGGCTGTGCGAGCAACGCCGCGGGGGAAACCTCCCACGGCAGTCCAGCAAGCCTGCCCCGCGACCCTGGCGCCTCCGGCGACCATGCCTGGGCTCGATGTAGGCGCTTGAAGCCCTGGGCCCGCACCACACCCGACTGCGTCATGACGAGCAGCGCGCCTGTCCGCGAGTGGTAGCCCACGAAGTGCCCCATGAGCATCTTGGGGGCCAGCGTGCTCCTCTCGTCTCCGACTCCGAGAGGTCGATAGTGCACCCTCTCGCCGAACTCCGCCGCGAACTTCCTCCAGGGACGGCCACGCCTCCGCTGCTCGGCCGCCGTGCCGTCAACGCCGAGCCTGAACTTGGAGATGGAGTCCGCGGCAAACTGGGGCAGCCACCTGACGATGGGATGCCCGGGCGAGACCTCGAAGCCGAAGGACTTCTGCATGGAGAAGAAGTTCGCTCGGATGACCTTCTTCACCTCCTTCACGCTGGCTTCGACCTCGCCGTTGCTCTTGTGCTCGCCCTTGGGCGACTCCTGCGGGATACACTCGACATGCTGGCCCACACCAACCATTCGCACAGATGCTCGCCTCGCCGTCGGACTTGAGCACGACACGGCGGTGCCCGAGGTGCTTCGAGAAGCCCACGAGCCACTTGACCACGAAGTCGGACGCGGTCTTGTCCTTGACGGCGGTCGCCCCCTTCATGCCGTACTTGCGGTCCGTCACCGCTAAGATGGGGATGGAGCCGTCGTCCTCCACGTCCTGGACCTTCTCCCCGATGAAGGCGAAGTCCATGCTGACAACCGGGTCCGCGTCATCACGATCCTCAGGTCGCCTGGCGCGCTGGGCGCCCAGGCCGGCCGCCCGCGCGCACTCCTCGCACCACGAGCGGTAGACCGCGTGTCCCGATGCCAAGTGCTGCTCCCGCTCTGCCTGCGTCGGCGCCCTGCCACGGCGCACGACTCGAGCGGGTGCCACCTCCGGCGCCTGCTGCTCCTCCTCCTGGCCCACGTCTACGTCGGTGAGCGGCGCCGGGCCCGGGCTCCCAGCCACAGCGCCGCCTCCTCCCGGCCTTGCGGCCAGGCCTGCCGGGGAGGGACTGGCAACCCGCCGTCGACCGGGCACAGGTCCCAGCTCTCGCGGTGGTCGCCGAACGAGACTCTCCTGACGTGTCCTCCCTCGTTCTTCTTGATGTAGCCTGCGTAGATGCCCTCCTCAACATACAGCGGCACCACGCCCGACTCACTCCACGCAGCATCTCGGATGAGAGCGTCGACGCGGTTCACGATGTCCGAGCCGGCCGGGAGGATGTAACCACCCTCCTTCGTCAGCCAGGTGGCCCGGCCCGTGCGGTGAGTCTGCGAGGCCGAGACCAGCGGCTTGTGGATGCTGGCCAAGCGCGCCTTCAGTCTGATCGGCTCGCTCCACTCGGATCGCCCTTGGATGCATACCCCGCCCGAGTCGGCTATGATCTCACCGCTGGCCGTCCGATAGCTCGCATTCGGATCGGCCGGGAGCCGCTCGCCCTTGGTGTTCTCAGGGAAGGTGGTCACGGCCGCGCCCGAGTCGAACGTGAACCTGATCCACTCCTGGTCGTCGACGGTCTCGTCGAAGCTGTTGAGCTCGAACGTACACAGCTCGAAGGAGCCAAGGTTCGTGGAACCCACCTGGCTCGCTGAGGGCGGTAGGCTGGTGATCGTGCTGTTGTTGCCATCGTCCCAGTTGTCTCCGTAGACCGGCTGGCTCGAGCTTGACGCGGCACCTGGCTCGAAGGAGTTGGTGTCCCAGCGGCGACTCTTGCCCTTGCCTTTGTCCTTGTCTGCGTCCTTGCCCTTGCCTTTGCCTTTGCTGCCCTTGCCGTCGCCGGTCTTCCCGCCAGTCAAGCGGGCTGTGCACTCATTAGACGTATGGCCCCAGCCCCCGCAACGCCAGCACTGCACCGTCCGCTTGTCACGCGGCTTGGGAGCCTGGCCCTTCTTGCCGTTCTTGTCACCCTTACCTTTGGACTTCCCCTTGCCTCCTTTGTGCAGCGAGTCCACGTCCATTGGGTCACCTCGCTTCCGTCGGAGTAGGGCACCTTGAGACTGTCTCGACTCCAGGAAGCTCCTGATCTCCTCTACGACCTTCTCCGACGTGTCCAACCGATGCTTGTTCATCGCGAGGTGGAGTTCGAGCTCTTCCGGCACCATCGTCTCCAGGGCTGCAACCTTCACGTCATCGTCGACCACCTTGCCCAGGCCGTCTGCCTTCTTCCTCTCGTACCTGCGGATGAGCTCCTCCCACTCCTCGAGCTTGGCGTACAGGTCGCTGAGGGTACACCGCTGCGGGTTCATGATCTGCTTCAAGAGCACGCGGCGCTTGCCCCCCGAAGCGGGGTCCCAGCGCCTGATGAGCTTCCTCATCGCCTCAGCGCCGTTGCCCTTGGGAGTGTTCATCACTAGGGCGAAGCTCTCACCTTCTGTCAGCGTCTGGAGCGCGACGTACAGCTGGCTGACCTTCTCGCGGAGGTCTGGAATGAATTCATCCTCATCATCATCGTCGCTGCCGAACCGTGCCTCCAGAACCTCCATGCTGATAACCGTGGTCTCCTGCGCCTGATCCTCCACCCACTCCAGCAGCTTGCGGAACTGCTCTCCGAAGACTGCCGTCAGGTACGCATTCGTCTTGCGGTACCACTCCAGGAACTTTGCTTCCTCATTCTTGAAGATGGAGGGCTTGCCTAGCCCCTTGGTGTCTACAAGGGAAAAGGCCGGCGCAGACGACTTATCTTTTCGTTCATCCGACAGCTTCTGCACCGCATCGCCGAGCTGCTCAGCTAGACGTGGCAGATCTCCCTGCGCCTGGACCTGCCGAGCGAGCTCCGTCCGGATCTGAACATTCTGCTGCTGCATCTGCTCGGCCTGCTGTGACAACTGCGCATTCTGGAGCCTCAGCGCCTCCACGGCCGACTGCAGGCTCGCCAGGGCCTGCCTCTCCTGATCGTTCATCGCAGCTGCCTGGCCTTGACGTACTTGAGGTACTCACCGAGCACCGACCAGAAACCCTTCAGGTACTTCTGCTTCAGCACCTTCGCCACCACGTGGCGCCACCTGCGCTGCACCCTGCCGTCGGTCTTCTCGACCGGAGCCTCCTCGTCTGGCACCCACAGCCACACGCCACCAGCAGCCCCGCTATCGCTGCTCGACGCCGTGGCTGGAGTGTGCAGGGCGGGCCGCGCTGGAGCGCGGCCGGGCTGGTGCGCGAGAGCGCCGGTTAAACCGACGCTCCGCTACCATGCAACGCTCCTTTGACACAAATGAGCTGCGGACGTCAAACGATATCGATAAGAACAGATACCACTGATTGTGCACGTGAAGGGAAACAGACCCCCTGGCGCCAAAAAAAAATGTTCATGTTTTTTCTTCGTCGAAGACACATAGTCATTTCACAGGGCAGACACATACACGCACACACACGCACAAGAACACACGACGCGCACAACAGACTGGGCACGCTAACATCACAGAGGGCAGACACACAGAGAGTTCGCACAAACAGCATTCGCGCGCGCGCGCCTCAAACCTCTCGCCGCTGTCGCTGTCGGCAAGGGCGAGGGCGGGGCACACGAGGGCTTCGGGGCCCCCCTTCCGGGCTCCCAAGGTCTGGCCGAAGCCGGAGCGCTCCCCCAGCACGCTGGCCACGGCTTCCCCTAGCTACAGTCAACCCGTATCATAAGAATGCGCGGTAAGTATGCAAGGGCCTTGGAGGCCCATGTGAACATTTTTCGAACGAGGCTGGCCAACGAAAGTCGCTAAGGACTGGCCGAAGGCGCAGGGATGCACGGTCACCCTTGGGAAGGTGGCCCATCCTTACTATGCGGGTTGACTGTATGTGATTTCGGTCGGTCGAGATGTCGGCCGGCGCCCATGTAGACTTGAGAGATACAACACGCGCGCGCGCGTTCAACCCTACTTCTACATCGAGCCTGTGCAGACGATGGCCGCGCATGGCAGGTGCCAGAAGCTGCGATTACCAGCGCGTGCGAAGTGCGTGCATTCAGGCTCGGCGCAAATGGCACATCCAGCACACACTCTTGCAACACATGTTTACACACATGAGGCAGGCACCATACCCTGGAACGTATTTTCACACATGCACATTCGCGACAGACGTCTCCACACTCGCATACAGCAATCCGAGCACAATGGCAACAATCTACAGCGTACGAGCATAACAACACGGCCAAAACCACCAACCATTGCTCGCACCATCATGTGCACCCAACATGCAACGCACGTCCACACATGACGTACTATGAGAAGGACAAGCATAAACACTAGCCGCAACGTCTGCAAACAACATGCACAACTGACAACATCACACTACAAGCATTGCACAGACATAGTATATAGCTTACGAGGACAAGCGCACAAGACAGGCTGCGACAACACACGCAGCATGTCCTTGTTGTGGACCGCTCGAAACGGACAGTGTTTTGAGAACTTTGAAGTCTCGGAGACACACCACGTGCACGGCGATGCTGCACAGGCGCCACAAGTTTCGGGCACGGTCCCCCCAAACGCATACTGTTGAACGCGCAATGCCATCGCGGAGTGACCTCGACGAGAGCACCAACGGGCTCGCTTCCCCTGGGGGGCCGCCGTGACTCCCGCGCTGCGGGCTCAACTATGTGTGAAGACGGGCAAGGTCGAATTAGTTGAGATGGAAGAACACAGCTATCACAGCAATTACGAATAGGTTGAGACGGGAACCTCATCAGCCCTCTGGGCGCAGGTCGTTTAAAGCATCGACTCTTCCAAGATCCTCCCCCTCCTCTCCTTCTCTTCCTCCACCCTCTCCCCCCTCTCCTCCCCTTCCGCTCCTCTGCCTGGCAGAATATGCCCCCGCTCCGTCCCCGCACTCCTCTGATGGCGCATCTCACCCCCTTCCTTCCCTCTCCCCCTCCGCCTGCTGTCTTTGCCTCACCACCCTCCCCACGACTCGCCGTCCTTCTCAAATCTCCGGCTCCTCCTCCTCGTGCCGGCTGCTGCGACCTAATACAACGGAGAAAAAAGGGGGCGATGGGGCAGTGCGAAAAAAAGAACCGAGGCGACGAGGAGTCCCAGCACGCTAGTCCACACTCCCCCCCCTCCCTGATCCCCCTCCTCCTCCTCCTCCTCTTCCTCCTCCTCCTCCTCCTGCTTCTCGCTACTCCCTTCTCCTCCCCCCTCCTCCTCCTATCCCCTCTTCTTCCTCCTCCTCCTCCTCCTCCTCCTCCTCCTCCTCCTCCTCCTCCTCCTCCCCCTTCTGCTGCTGCTGCTGTTGCTCCTCCTTTTCCTCCTCCTCCAGAAGCCTTTGCCCAGGCGCTGGCCACCCGAGCGTTTGGCCACAAAGAGCCGCGCCAGGCACAGTGTTCGGAAGTGCCGCAAGGCGGGCACGGCTGCTGCCCCCAGAGCCGCAACCATGCTGAAATCCCTTGTCTCCTTCTTCCCCAGACCCCCGACGTCTTGCTGCTTTCATTCGGAAGTCGACTCCCGGAGGTTTACGTCAGGGGGTTTCGTTTAGCGTGTATCCTGAGAGTCGGTGGATACGCGCTAAACGAGTCCGGCGTTTAGCGTGTACCTTTTAGCTCGCTGTTTAGCGTGTACCTACGAATGCTCGTCGGTTCGTTTAACGTGTACCTACGAATACTCGTCGGTTTCTTTTAGCGTGTACCTCTGTGCCTCGCTGGGTTTCCAGTGAGGCCCAGGACGACAAAGGTAAGAGGCCCAGGACGACAAAGGTAAGGTGGTGGGATGGGCCGAGAAGCCAGAGCACCCTCCAAGTAGATGAGGGGCGTGGGAGGGCAGTGGCCGGGAGGGGCACACGCATGGACGGGGGGAAGGGGTACACGCTAAACTGGCCCCAGCGTTTAGCGTGTACCTCCCCTGGTGGTTATCAGTGGTGCGTTTAGCGTGTATCTGGCTCGCTGAATTCGTTTAGCGTGTACCTGACAACCCGGGTCCGACAGGGCTACGATACACGCTAAACGAAACCCCCTGACCGTAGGCCCCTGATCAAGAAATCCTCTCTTCATCCTGCAGTGCTATCTGATGGTCCCGGGGCCGAGCGAATGTACCCAGACGGAGAAACTCGCCATACACCGTCCGTCGTGTTTCTTTTCACACGGCGTGCGGTGGTCAGGGTCCTCCTCCTCCTCCTCCTCCTCCTCCTCCTCCCTCCTCCCTCCTCCCTCCATCTCCCTCCTCATCCACCTCCTCCTCCTCCTCCTCCTCCTCCTCCTCCTCCTCCTCCTCCTCCTCGTCTTCCTCCTTCTTCTTCTCTTCCTCCTCCTCCTCCTCCGCCTCCTCCCTCCTCCTCCTCCTCTTCCTCTCCTCCTCCTCCTCCTCCTCCTCCTCCTCCTCCTCCTCTCTTGGTGATGCACTTCTCCTCCTCCTCCTCCCCTCCTCCTCACCGGCCTCCTCCTCCTCCTCCTCCTCCTCTCCCCCTCCTCCCTCCTCCCCCCTCCCCTCCTCCCTCTTTCCTCACTCCTCCTCCTCCACCTCCTCCACCTCCTCCTCCACCTCCTCCTCCTCTCCTCCTCCTCCTCCTCTCCTCCTCCTCCTCCTCCTCCTCCTCCTCCTCCTCCTCCTCATCCCCCTCCTCCCCACGAGAGGGCGATCCGCAGCCGCCGCCGCGCGGCCGACCGCCGCGGCCCTGGACCCCCTGCCGCCGCGCGGCACGGCGGCGAGCAGCGAAAGGACCGCCGCCGCGGCGAGCCAGCCTCTCAGGGGAAGGGTCATCCTGCTCCTCCTCCTCCACCTCCTCCTCCTCCTCCTCTCCTCCTTCCTTCTCCACCTCCTCCTCCTCCTCCTCCTCCTCCCCCACTCCCGGTCCTCCTCTTCCTCCTCCTCCTCCTCCTCCCCCCCACCCCTGTCCTCCAGATCCTCTTCCTCCGCCGCCTCCATCCTCCTTCTCCTATTTCTCCTCTTTCTCCTTCTCCTCCTCCCCTTCCCTCCTCCTCCTCCTCCTCCTCCTCCTCCTCCTCCCCTCCTCCTCTTCCCTCCTTCTCATCCTCCTCCTCCTTACTGCTCCAGCTCCTTCTCGTCCTTCTCCTCCTTCACCTCCTCCTCCTCCTCATTATCATCCTCCTTGTCATCATCATCATCACCATCATCACCATCATCATCACCATCATCATCCTCATCCTCATCCTCATCCTCATCCTCATCAACATCCTCATCCTCCTCCTCATCATCATCAACATCATCATCATCATCACCATCAACATCATTATCATCATCATTATCATCATCACCATCATCATTAGCATCGTCATCACCCTCCTCATGATCATGCTCATGATCATAATCATCATCTTCATCGTCATCTTCATTTTCATCCCCATCCCCATCCATATCCTCTTCCTCCTCCTCACCATCATCATCACCATCATCATTACCAATAATCATCATCGTCATCATCATCATCACCATCATCTTCATCATCATCATCATCATTGTCATTATCATCATCACCACCATCATCATCATCATCATCATCATTATCATTACCATTAGCATAATCACCATCATCATCATCATCATCATCATCATCATCATCATCGTCATTATCATCACCATCATCACCATCATCACCATCATCACCATCATCATCAGCATCATCATCAGCATCATCATCATCATCATCATCATCATCATCATCATCATCATCATCATTGTCATCATTATCATCATTGTCATCATTGTCATCATCAACCTTCTCCTTCCTCTCTTCCCTTCTCCTCCTCCTCCTCCTCCTCCTCCTCCTCCTCCTCCTCCCCACTCCCAGTCCTCCTGCTCCTCCCAGTCCTCCTCCTCCTCCTCCTCGTCGTCCTCCTCCTCCTCCTTCTCCTCCTCCTCATCCTCCTCCCCATGCGGATCCTCCTCCTCTTCCTCCCCCTCGTCCTTCTCCTCCTCCTCCTCCTCCTCCTCCTCCTCGTCCTCCTCCTCCTCCTCCTCCTTCTCTCCACTCCCGGTCCTCCTCCTCCTCCTCCTCCTCCTCCTTGTCCTCCTCCTTCTCCTCCTCCTCCTCCTCCTCCTCCTACTTTTCTTCCCTCCTCCTCTTCCCTGAAACTTGACGCGAGCTCTGGCTACAGACATCCCACGAAAACTGGACCGTCAAAATCCAGGACGCACTCGTCAAACCTCTCGGGCGGGTGGTAATGGGGTTGGTCTAATGGGGGTGAAGACAAGGGCTCTAACGGGGCCCTTTAGGGCCCCTTTTGGAGCCAGCAGGGGGCCACAAGGGGCCCTGAAGTGCCCCTTCAGGGCACCTTTTCTACCCCCCGTTGAGGCCATCCCTGCCCTGCAAAGAACGTCGGCACACCCGAGTTCCGGCGTGCTCGAGTCATGACGCGCCGCCACGGCGGCCCGGCGACACGCTACATGCCCTGCGAGTCGACAGCGTGTCGCTCCGCTCCGCGGGGCGGAAGGTCGGCAGAGGCTCGGGACATTGACGCTCAGGGGCCCGGAACTGGATTAGAGGGCAGAACATCCACCCTCATAGTAATTAATCACCCCGGCAAGCGAAGCCGTGTAGTAAACGCACCCAAGGAAGGGATCGAACAGGGCAGAGCTGTTTAGTAAACGCCCAGGGCCGCCCAGTAAACGCCAATTGTCAGGGTCTGGGTGGCTCTTCCTCCCTCGACTTGACGCTCGGGGGCCTGGAACTGGATAGCGTGCCGCTCCACGGCGTGGTGTGTCAGAACCGGCCGACCGACACGCTATCCAAAAGTTTTCGGCCGTAGACGTCGTTCATTTCTAATCGTGCTCATTTCTAATTGTGCTCGTGGTTCCTGGCCCCCTAGCGGCCAGGAAGAGGCCCAGGATAGAAAAAGTAGAAATGAAAGGATCCTGGCCCCCAAAACCAAAGAACCTTCGAATAATATAATTAGAAATGACCAATGTGTAGTTAGGTCGACCCCTGGGGGACAAGGGCAGCCACGGCGGCGACGGCAACGGCCGCGCCTGAGGCGCCGGCCGCGGGCGCCGCGCCGCCCGCGGGCGCCGCGGGCGCCGCGGGCGCCGCCTTTGCCGCGGCCCCGCGGAGGGCGCGCGCTGCGGCTTCGCGAGGGGCCTCCGGGGGGCGCCGCCGGTGCGGTCGCCGTTGCTATCGCTGGCAGCGCCGGCGCCGTTGCCGCCGCCGTCGACGGCGTCGTCGGCGTCGGCGACGTCGGCGTCGTGGCTTTAGCCTTCGTCGTCGGCGTCGCCGGCATCGCCGTTGCAGCCGGCGCCCGCGTCGGCGGCGAGGTCGTCGGGAGGGCGGGAGAGGTGCGAGGGCTGCGGCGCCGCCGCGGGCGTGCCGGATGAGCTCGGGCAGAGAGTCGGATCGGATCGAGTAGCGTCGGCGTTGGCTTGGAACATCGGATCGCGCCAGCCCAAGTCGATGCAGTAGGGGCTCGACAACAAGAAACCTTCCACAAGAAACCCAGCCCCGAGACCCCAGGACGTCCATTGACTTTTTGGCGAAGGAACGTCACGCTCCCCACAGCAAAACCATCGACATCCACGAAACCCAAGCACCCTGGAGGCAAGCAGGGTGTTTCTCGGCACGGGCGTCCACTGTACCGATCGGGTCGACATGGACCCTGCGATGTCGTCACGACACGGATCGGTGCCAGGAAGTCTGGCACTGCGCGGTGCGTTCAGCCCTGAGCGATCACGGCTCTCCGACGGCGCGGACCGATTCTGGGCCACCAGGGGCGCTCAACCTTGAACGCCCGCGCCCCGGTCGGGCTCCTGGACGATCTCCGCAGTGCCAGGAAGACAACTATCGGGTTGGAAGAGTGGGGTTGGGGAGAAATGATCCTTACCCGTAGGCAGCCGAAGGTATCGTCGCTTGCATCCGGATGCTATTGCTCATGCCCTTCATCCTCCCAACCCCTTCCTCCCAACAAGGTGCTTGTTCTGCTCACAGTCGTCTGTTGTCGGGTCGATATCTTGAAGTAGAACGCCGTCGGTCCTTCACCTTCCCACGCTTCCGCTTCCTGGTCCTTCTCCCCCTCCCCTTGCTGCTTCCCCGCCTTCTTCTACTGCCCCTCCTCCTCCTCCTCCTCCTCCTCCTCCGCCTCCTCCTCCTCCTCCTCCTCCTCCTCCTCCTGCCACCTGCCTCCTCTCCCCTCCCTCCTCCCTCCTCCTGCCCCTCCTCCTCCGGCCCCCTCCTCCCTCGCTCCTCCTCCTCCTCACTCCTCCTCCTCTCCTCCTCCTCCTCCTCTCCTCCTCCTCCTCCTCCCCCTCCTCCTCCTCCCCTCTCCTTCTCCTCCTCCCTCCTCCTCCTTCCTCCTCATCCACCTCCTCCTCCTCGCTCCACCTCCTCCTCCTCCTCCTCCTCCTTCCTCCTCCTCCTCCTCCACCTCCTCTCCTCCTTCCTCCCTCCTCCCTCCCGCCTCCTCCACCTCCTCCTCGCTGCTCCTCCTCCCTCCTCCTCCTCCTCCTCCTTCTTCCTCAACTCCGCCCCGCGCGAGAGAGCGCGCGTGCGCTACGCGCGGGGAGCGTGCGGAGGGGAAACGGCAGAGTGGGTTGGTGGGTTGGGGGGGGGGCGAGAGATAGACCGGCCGCGGGGGGCCCCGATGATGGAGGCTGCCCGGGTGCTTCTGCTCGGGGGGTCTCGACCTCGGCGGCGAGCGAGGGGGGGAAGCGAGAAGGGGAAGGCCTCCTCAAGAGGCGGCAGGGCGCCTCAGGAGCCCTCCGGCCTTCTGAGGAGCTTTCTGCACCTTCGGGGGAGGCCGAGACACATTTCGAGGAGGCCGAGGGACGTCCCAGCCTTCTGAGGAGGCCCGCCCCTTCTCACTTCCCCCCCCGCGGCTCGCCGCCGAGATACCGCGTCGCGCCGCCACTTCCGGCCCACCGCGCTCCATCTCCACACGCTCCGGTCGGACCAGGGTGGACGGTCGAGGTGGGCTCGGGGAGGGTATCCTGATGTTCTCCGTGCTCGTTGGCTGCTCTGAGGAGGCCCGCCCCTTCTCACTTCTCCCCCGGGCTCGCCGCCGAGAGGAGGCGGGGGCCTCCCCGAAAGCCTCGCGGGGAGGCCCACCACCCAAGGAGCCGGGGCCCCCAGCGTGCCGAGACGACTGGCCGTCGCCGTCGTCGCCACCGCCGTCGCCGCCATGACATCAACGTCCGTCGTCGATGGCATCGTCTCGCCTTGCTCATCATCGTCGTGATCATCAACATCTCGCTATCATCGTCTCGCTATCACCGTCGTCATCATCATCAGCATCAACATCAACATCATCATCACCCGTCGTCGCTATCACCGTCTCGGTATCATCGTCGTGGCTATCATTGTCGTGATCATCATCTCCTCTGCCGCCTTCGCCTCCTCCTCCTCCTCCTCCTCTTCCTCCAGAGGCGCAAGGAGAGCAACATGCACTCAACAACCATACTATTCTCTCTCCCTCGCTCTCTCTCTCTCTCTCTCTCTCTCTTTCTTCCCCCTTCTTCCTCCGCTCTCTGCTCAAACATCCGACTTGACATTCTTTCGTGACGTGGGTTCCCTGCCATGTATGGGGCGAAAGCGATGTCATGGTGCGATTGGCGCAAGATGTGTTCCAAAATGTCTGGAATTTCTTCGGGCTCTTGTCTCTGGAGACCGCGAGGAACAGCAGGCCCCCTGGGAATCTTGGAGCGTTTCATTATCATTGTGCCTTCTTGCTGCTTGAATCTCGACCCTCTCCCAGAGACCACCCAATTTTTCCGCCTCGGGTAACTCTGTTGACATCCC